CTACTCTGGAGATATTATTTTCTTTACTCCAAGACTACACATTGGATCCAGTCTGCTTCAAACAAGAGACCGGGAAAGACGGGTTACTATGCTAATTGAATACTAATGAAGCCTTTGCTTAAGTTGGGTTTTGTTGCAAGCATTTGCCACTACATTTCTTTTGTATTTATGTAGAGGGAAAAATAAAGTACTTCAAAGGTAGCAAGAGTCTTACTTAGCCTGAGGATTTGCAGAAAAAATGTCTTGCTACTCTTTCTTTTGTGCTTGTAACATTTGTAAAGAGTTTTGTTCAGCACTATGGAAAAGCAAAATATCATCATCATTATTACTGGCCTTTGTCCACAGTGGATATCATCCAGATTCTAACCAGTGACTCTGTGACTAACAATCTGAGTCACTAAGTTTCAGATGTTTATGGATTTCAACACAATTCCCAGACTGAAAGTTTTTTTAAAATTTATTTTCATGTTTCAAGACTCAGAAGGAATTAAATGCCTTTCTGTATTTCCAGTCTAGTGCAGAAAGAAATAAATGCCTTTCCGTATTTCCAATCTAGTGTCACTGAGTGACAGGGTTGGAACAATTCAGTGAATAGATTGAACTGTTCCTTCAATTACAGATTTGTATTGACAAAAGTTAATTACCAAAATGTCAAAAAAAATTAGTGTATACTTCCAGGACAAAAGTCTCCAGGCTGGCAGAGAATTCAGTGAATTATAAATATTTGTGTTTTCACCATGGTAGTAGCACAGGATAATTACAGAATTTAAAATGCAGAGAATCACGGTGCTGGGAAAACTGAATATCCACACGTGGAAGAATGAAACTAGACGCCTCTTTCTCACCATATACAAAAATCAACTCAAGGCTGGATGCAGTGGCTCATGCCTGTAATCCCAGAACTTTGGCAGGACAAAGCAGGCAGATCACTTGAGGTCAGGAGTTCGAGACCAGCCTGTCTGACGTGGTGAAACCCCGTCTCTACTAAAAGCACAAAAATTAGCTGGGCGTGGTCATGGGCGCCTGTCATCCCAGTTACTCGGGAGGTTGAGGCAGGAGAATCACCTGAATCTGAGATTCAGAGGTTGCAATGAGCCGAGATCAAACCACTGCACTCCAGCTTGGGCAACAGAGCAAGACTCCATCTCAAAAAGAAAAAAAAAAAAAATCAACTCAAAATAAAGACTGAAATGTAAAGCCTGAGGCGATGAAACTACTAGAAAGAAAACATAGCAGAAACACTTCATGACATTGGTCCAGGCAAGGATTTTTTGGATAAGACCTCAATAAAAAGAATGAAATCCTGTCATTTGCAACAACATGGATGAACCTGGAGGACATTATGTTAAGTAAGAAAAGCCAGACACAAAAGGCAAATACTACATGATCTCACTTATATGCGGAATTTTTAAAAGTTGATCACATAGAAGTAGAGAGTAGAATACTGGTTAGCAAAGTCAGCTGAAAGGTAGGGAGGAGTGGTGGGAGTAGGAGAAGTTGGTTAGTAGGTACTAGGTTTTAGTTAGATGAGAGGTGTAAGTTCTGGTAGAATACCGGTTATCAGAGTCAGGTGAAAAGTGGGGAGGAGTGGCGGGAGTAGGAGAGGTTGGCTAGTAGGCACTAGGTTATAGTCAGATGAGAAGAATAAGTTCCGGTACTCTACTGCAGAGGTCTCAACCTTTTTGGCACCAAGGACCGGTTTTGTGCAAGACAATTTTTCCACAGATTTTTGAGGGGGATGGTTTCAGGATGACACTGTTCCATCTCAGATCGTCCAGCATTAGTTAGGCTCTCAGAAGGGGCACACAACCTAGAGCCCTCCTGTGTGCAGTTCGCCATAGGGTTTGTGCTCCTATGAGAATCTAATGCAGCTGCTGATCTGACAGGAGGCAGAGCTCAGGTGGGAATGCTTTGCCCAACGCTCACCTCCTACTGTGCAGCCCAATTCCTAATAGACCACAGTTTGGAACCCCGTAGTTGGGGACGCGTGCTCTATGGCACAGTAGAGTGATATATTTAACAATAATGTGTTGCGTATTTCAAATCAGCTAGAAGAGACGATTTTGAATATTCTCACCACAAAGAAATGAAAAATGCTTGAGATAATGGGTGTGCTAATTAGCCTGAGTTGACCATTATGCAATGTACACAGGTAGTGGAATATCACACTGTACCCCATAGATAATACGTACAACTATGACGTGTCAATTAAAAATAAAATTAAAAAAAACAAAAAAGAAATGTAAGTGAACACAATATAAACACTAAAAAAAAAAATAAAATAAAATGCAGGGGACCTACTGCTAAAAGGTAATAAAGAGAACGACAGAAAAATGCAAGTATATTGGCTGGTTATTAACTTTGCAAAGATGCGCATCTTTATTCTTATAGCTCCTTCAAAGGCATATTAGAAAATGGACAGTCTGACCAGGGCCTACTTAAGGGTGGAGGGTGGGAGAAGGGTGAGGATTAAAAAACTATATATCAGGTACTATGCTTATTACCTGGGTGACAAAATAATCTGTACACCTAATCCCTGTGACATGCAATTTTCCCAAACAAACCTGCGTGTGTACCCCCGAACTTAAAATAAAAGTTGGAAAGGAAAAGAAAAGAAAAGGAAATGGACAGTCTGAGCTAAAATATCCCTTTTTATGGAAAATCTCATTATTTTAATAATGTTATCATTTTTCTGTATTTATTCTCATACCAGCTCTAGATTATTCCTAGACTATAACTATCCCTGATTGTTCGCCTTACATCAATCTTTTATTTTTATTATTATTATTACTTATTTGTAGGGACAGGGTCTTGCTGTGTCACCCAGGCTGGAGTGCAGTGGTGCAATTATGACTCAATGTAGCCTTAAACTTCTGGCCTCAAGCCATCTTTCCAGCTCAGCCTCCCCAGTAGCTAGGTCTACAGGTGCCATGCTACCACAGCTGGCTAAGTTTTTAATTTTTTATAGTGACGTGGTCCCACTATGTTACCCAGCTTTGGTCTTGAATTCCTGGCCTCAAGTGAGCCTCCTGCTTTGGCCTCCCAAAGTGCTGGTATTGCAGGTGTAAGTCATAGTGCCTAGCCCCGTCAACCTTAAAAGACAATTCCTTGTCATTTTCACATGGAATAATTTCACAAACATTTGGTCATACATTTTTACAGCATCTCGGGTTAATAATATATTACAGTTTCATAGCATTTTGCAAAGAATTCTCTTGTATGTTATCTCACGTTCATCTCATCATCATATGCAGTAGAGAATAAATGTGTTGCTCCATTTTACAGATGAGAAAATTGATGTACATTACACTGATATAATTGGCTTAGACTCATTGGCTAAAGTAACATGGATTGTTACAGAAAAATAGAGGTCCTAGTACAAAGCTATTCTACTAGACATGTGATATGGTTTGGCTCTGTGTCCCCACCCAAATCTCATGTTGAATTGTAATTACCAATGTTGGGGGAGGGACCTGGTGGGAGGCGATTGGCTCATGGGGGTGGATTTCTCCCATACTGTTCTTGTTAGAGTAAGTGAGTTCTCACGAGGTCTGATGGTTTAAAAGTGTGTGGCACTACATCCTTGCTCTCTCTCTCTCTCTCCTGCTCTGCCATGGTAAGACATGCTTGCTTCCCCTTTGCCTTCTGCCATGATTGTAAATTTCCTGAGGCCTCCCAGCCTTGCTTTCTGTACAGCCTGCAGAACTGTGAGTCAATTAAACCTCTTTCTTCATAAATTATCCAGGTCTCAGGTAGTTCTTTATAGCAATATGAGAACAGACTAATACAACACATAACAGAAACTTGAGGTTTAAAAAGAATTTTTGCCTCTAAATCCTCATAATGCAAGATTAAGAATAAAGCCTGGACAGACGAGCTGTTATTTCTGGATGCCGGTCTTTGCAAATACTTTTTGGGTTATCAAGTATTATCTTGTATTATGTTAATGCTCTCCAAAGTATCAAAGTATAATCAGACTGCACAAAATATTATCAAAATATACAAAGATAATAAAGAAAATGAATTAGATTTATTAGATTAAAAAACTATTTACTCATCATTCTGTGCCCTTTATAGGATGACCTGTATAAGTCTATGTAGGATGTTCTTGAGCACACATTCATAATTGTTGCCTTTCAAGCAAGTTTCATTTTTCACTGTGAACTTGTTGGATTTTACGTTTAAACTAATAGCCTTTCTAAGGGAAGATGATTTATCTACCATTTCCCTTACATCTTCCATAGTGTCTAGGCTGGAATCAAAGTTGTCACTTTTTGACTTCTGCATGGCAACTACTCCTGTGACATATTTTGAAGTTCCTGTACACCCTAATCTGGCCCTGTATCCACACTGAGCCTCATGGCTAAGTCTGATATCCAAGCAGTAAGATGGTCTAGTAGAATCCCCTAAAGCACAGGTCATGAGCCAACCACATCACACCCATCTGGTGTCTCTCAGCAGGTGCAGGATTCTAGGTGCTTCCACAGATCTTCCCCACCCAGTGAAGCTGCATTAAACAGCTCCCCAAGAGAGTCTTGTGAACTCTCAAGTTTGATCACTACCCTAATGATAGCACTTTTCAGCTCCTGGAAATTTTAATGAAGTTGCTCGTGAATGTGGTTCCTGGGCCTGGTCTTTGAAAATGAAAACGGAAGATGGTGCTTGACTTTGGGGAAAAGAACTGAGAGGCAGACTACAAAAATGGCTCAAAACAACACCCTCTGACAATTACTAAGAGAAAATGTTTACCTGTGCGCTGGGAAACAACACCCCTCATTTTTGTAAGGCAGTTCCCAAGCAGATGCCTGATTTCAGAATCTCTGGAGCTGCACCCTCCAAGGCACTGGCGCTTAGAAACGACACGAAGAGCCAGCCCTGCTGAGCAGGACCAGGGCGCCAAGTCTGAATGACTAATATTTTTCCAATCTAGAACGTCATTAACCGATTGAGAACTATTTTCCCTTTAAACTAGGCAAAATCAGCATTCCTCTCCCCTCTGTGTGCCAGAATCCGAAGATGAACAAAAGAGGCCTGCATCAGGAAAACTGTGTTCAGTTCTCTTGGATTCAGGCCTTCAACCCGAATTGGGTTGAGTGAATGAAGATGCTGATGAGATGTCAGGGACCTGGGGAATGAAGACACACCCAGAAAAAGCAGGACCCTGCAGGAGTGGACAAAGAACTGGAGCACAGGGATGTGAGAGGGGTTGAAATGAACAACAGACTCATACGAGAAGGATTTCTAATCAGAAGAGAGTGACTGCTTTAATAAAGCTGCAACCTGGAACAATTACAATCTGACCAGATGTTCTTGCAAAACTGGTAAAGCAGAGAATGTGAAAAAATCACTCCCCCTCCTCCCCTGAATGCAGTTGACCAAAGGCCGAAAGGCCGGATCCTGAAAGCCCAGATCTGATTCCTGCAGATCTGGGCCACCCTAAAAGCAATCGGGTGTAATCTTTCCAGTTCCAGGCCCTGGGATGAGGGAGGTGGGGGGAAGGCAGAGAAAGGCGGAGGAAGGTGGAGGGAGGTGAGAGGAGGTGGAGGGAAGTGAGGGGAGGTGGAGGGAGGTGAGGGGAGGTGGAGAGAGGTGGGTGGCGGCTCCAAGGTTTGAAAACACATCCAGGACACTTGCCCATCCTCCAAGAGCACGCCGGCTCGCAGGTTCTTTCACGCTTCTGCTTGGGATAATCGCGTGCATGAAATCTGGCAGGGAAGAGTCAAGGAGATTGTTAGCCCGAGGGCTAGGACGGTGGATGTGGGAAGCAGGGGCCTGGGGGACACGTTCCCTTCCTGCCGCGGGCTGCCTCGTGCTCCCGAGTCCCCGCGGGGCCTGGCGGCGA